CGAGAGAGCGACTGACAGAGCTGACCCAGAGAGAAGGACAGGCTTCAGTTGCTTCCTCCCTCCCCTTCTTTCATTTGTGTCCTTGATCCCCGATCCCAGCAGCATTCACCGAAGGCTTCTTAACATTATATCGGCGTATAACACGCATACATCATTTGCCCCCTATTTTCAGGGGGAAAAAAGTGCGTGTTATACGCCGATAAATACGGTAACCAAATTTCTGAACTTCTTACGGACTAGAGGCTTATTTTGCGGTATTTTTTAAAAAAAAACTAGGGGGGAAAACAGCCTCTTGGATCAGGTAAATAGTCCTGCAGAATATTTATTAAACTTTTCTGCTTTTCTCCCATTCAATTCATCTGCCATCAGCCTCTTGAACATAAACTACTTATTTCGATTTATTTACGACAATTTCGGAGTTCCCTTCCTTTTGCAGAAGTTAACTCGATAATAGTTTATGAGAGGATGTGACACAGCAAGTCCCCCAGCTGCATTTATCTTTGCCTTTAAGGAAAAATATAAGGGGGTGCACAAGGAATCAATAAAACCAAGTTAATCTGCTCCTCATTCCTTCTCTTCACACGTTCACTAATTCAGATGAAAGGATCGGTTTCTTGCTCCAGTGCAAACCACAGGAGGAAGCTGGGGTTTTTGCACCACTTATATAAAAATATGCTAAGTATTTTTCAGATATTTTTGATACTGGATCTAGAGAGGCAGGTTTTTTTTTTTAAAAAAAAACTACAAGTCTTTTTTAATAACAATTTAAAGCAATACAAGTTTCATTTTCTCATTACAATTTATACACCCCCTTTCTACCCTAGATGGAGGCGTTCCAGGCAATATGAAATAAAAATAAACTCAAGCCAAAATAAATAAAAACAGAAAAATAAAAACCATTAAGATGTGTGCATTTATTCTCTGCTTTCCTTTATATCCAACCTAGCAATTCTCCCAAAGCAGGAGAAATCGTAGAAGGAACTGGAAAAATCAAAATGCAATAAATGCTACTATTTAAAAAATAAACGAAACTCTCTGGTTTCCTGGCTGTGCTGGAGGTTTTTGTTTTATGATTCTCTGGCTGCTGGGTGTTTTATGCCTCGTTTTATTTTGCATTTGAATGTATTGTTGTTCTGAGCTGCCTGGAGTCATAAACTGAGACGGGCAGCTATATAAATCAATTTAATAAATAAACCTCTAGCATTCCTTCCCGTAGGACAGAGGTGGTGAACGGTGGACTCTTGAGTGTTTGTGAGCTTCAACTCCCAGAATTCTTGAGTGTTTGTAGACTTCAACTCCCAGAATTCCCAAGTGTTTGTGGACTTCAACTCCCAGAATTCCCAAGTGTTTGTGGACTTCAACTCCCAGAATATTCAGGAATTCTGGGAGTTGAAGTCCAGAAATCCTAAAAGGGCCATCGTTTCCCGCCTTTCCCACAAGGTGACGGCCGCCATGGGAAACACTAGGAAATATCTTGTTGGAAGTGACCCTTCCCTCTCTCGGCTCCTCCGATTCTGGGGGTTCAGGGAATTCTTGCAGATTAAAATATCTTGCCTGGCTTAGGCAGTGCTCATGTTTCCAGGGGCTCCAATTTCCTGCTGTAAGGTAACGGTAAAGGTTCCCGTTGCACATCCATGCTAGTCATTTCTGACTCTAGGGGGCGCCATTGCTCATCTCCGTCACAAGGCCGAAGAGCCAGCGCCGTCCAAAAACGTCTCCGTGGTCATGTGGCTGGCAGGACTAAATGCCGAAGGTGCACAAAATGCTGTTCCCTTCCCACCAAAGGGGTCCCTATTTTTCTACTTGCTTTCAAAACTGCTAGGTTGACAGAAGCTGGGACCAGGAACGGGAGCTCACTCCGTGACGCGGCAACGCTAGGGATTCGAACTGCCGACCTTCCCGATCGACAAGCTCAGCGTCTTAGCCCCTGAGCCACCGCGTCCCTTCAACTTCCTGCTGGCTGGGCCCCAAACCTGCTTTTTTCCAGGTACCCCCAAGATGAACGGAGTGGAAAAACTCTTGAGCGGAAGCTCAGGAGAAGCAGAACAAAAACCTTTTGTGTCCTCCCCCTTCTAGTGTGAGTTGTGTTTGCTGCTTGGCACCAACCCTCTCTGCCACAGGGCACAGAACGAGGGTGCCCGTTTCTTTTCAGCTCCGGTCTGAGTGTGTGCACTGAAGACACAAACCCACAAACTGGAGGAGAGGGAGAGAGCGAATGCATTGTCTGAGCTGCCAGCTGCTCCTTCCTGGAGTCGCAGATCTCTGAGTTTTAATCCAATTTAGACAGGAAATAAGAGCACCCCGAAGAATTTATTAATCACTTTAACCAGGGAGCTATTACAGAATAACAGGGGGCAGCAAAGCAGGGAAAGCGGGAGGGAAGGGATGGGAAATTCCCCCTGCTTCCCTCCCTCCTCCTCTACCTTCAGCCTGGCACCCACAGGGTCTTCACTCCCAAACACCCCAAATGATTTGGGGGTGAGAGGAGCTTAGGAGGCCCATATGTTGTTGTTAATGGCGGAATAAAACAACAAAGAATCTTAATGGCGAAATAAAACAACAAAGAATGTCTAAGAGGCACTGCAAAAAAACCCAACTCTCGAAAAATAATTGATTTCCACTCTTTTGGTCACAGGCCCTCCAAGCTCTGCCCCTAATCTGGCCAGAATTATGCACACCGGGGATGTGGAGCTACCCCAAGCCCAACTTTTGCTCAATGCGGGCCTAGCTTTGGGAACTCACTGCCACTGGATGTAGCTGTGATGCTAAGGCCATGTTTTTCAAGCTTGGGTAATTTAAGATGGGTGAACTTCCAGAATTCCCCAGCCATGGGATTGTGGGAATTGAAGTCCACCCGTCTTAAAAGTTCATTAGCTTACTGGCTGGGGAATTCTCATGAAAAGAAGGACTAAGGGAGACACGATAGCAGTGTTTCAATATCTCAGGGGCTGCCCCAAAGAAGAGGGAGTCAAGCTATTCCCCAAAGCACCTGAGAAGGCAGGACAAGAAGCAACGGGTGGAAATTAGTCAAGGAGAGAAGCAACTTAGAACTATGGAGGAATTCCCTGACAGGGAGGACAATGAATCAGTGGAATAACCTGCCTCCAGAAGTTGTGAAGGCTCCCACACTGGAAGTTTTCAAAAAGAGATTGGATAACCATTTGTCTGAAGTGGTGTAGGGTATCCTGACTAAACAGGGGGTTGGACTAGAAGACCTCCAAGGTCCCTTCCAACTCCTCCTATTCTATTCTATTCTATTCTATTCTATTCTATTCTATTCTATTCTATTCTATTCTATTCTATTCTAGGTCTCCTGCTTGAACAAGGGGTTGGACCAGATGACCTCCAAGGTCCCTCTCAACCCTGCTATTGTATTCTAAGTTACAAGCCCCTAAGGGAAGTTTGGAGAGGATCCTAGGCTGATTGCACCATTATCTATTATCCTCCCCTCCCTGCAAACATTTCGGGGAGGGGGTTGCTGGTGAATTAACTCTACAAAAGGAGCAGACCCCAATCTGCCAGCCCGCAGCCCCCAGCTGGGATCACAACAACGGAGCCCCTTTGAGGTTCCTTCTCTCTCCCCCCTCCCCACCACTCTGGTCACTGAAACCCCCCCCCCTCCCATCCCCCCCCCCCCCCCCTCTTCGGGGGGGGGGGGTAATGTGATTACGGGCTTGGAAAGCCGCTAACGTTCATTAGACTTGCCGCCGTGGTTTTAATGTGGACAGATCGCTCATTACGAGCCAGGGTCCGGGGAAGACAGGCGTGCCAGCCGAGCCGTTTCCCCCTCC